AACTGCAGGTATATTTCCTCTTTCAGACTGAGTGTTTTTCTGGAATAGTTACTAAGGGAGCTTGTTAAATAAAAGAATTCTACTCAGATTCTTTACAAAAATAAAGACTATTAAATGATTTAATATTAATTTACTATTTTCCATAAATCTGGCTTTTCGTTTAGGTGTTTGCTTAGACTACAGCCACGTTTGTATTGTCTGTTTCATGAGCTAATCTTGTCTCTATTTCAGCAATAGCAGCTCCAACCTTACACTCTCAGCTTTCGAGAGTGAATAAGGAAATTTTCAGTAATGTAGAGTAAGCAAATGTGTGTGTGTGCACTTGTGTGTGTTTTACATATTGTTATGGCCACAAGAATGCTGTCAGCATGGTGTTTGAGGTGGCAGGAGAGGGGAAAGACCTGGGCATGTGGTTCCTGGTATTTTGGGCAGAGACCTCAAGACAATATTCTAATTCTGGACTTTTAAATGCTATGTCAGATTTGCTGGGTCCTTTAAAGCAGGCAGTATCCATTTGAGGTATGAAGCTAGATATTCAAAATTTCCTTTGAAAAGGAAAATCTGAGGTAGAGAGAGAAGAGGTCACCTAAGCAGGCACGTTTTGTCAGCCAGCGTCTTGTTGGGTCTCTTGTTCATGTGCAGTGTCCCCAGCCCTGGAGCTCTAGGACTGTCTACAGGACAATGACAAGAAAGTTGCAGCAGTTCTCTCCGGCTCCCTGGAGAGCCAGTGGGTGAGCGGACGTGGAAGGGGAGGGGGCTAGCTCAGTTTCTAGTGAGTCTGAAAGCCAGTCACACCTCATTAGGCTGTGGAATTATTTATCTTCCCCACTCAGTTTTGAGTTCTGTGGGGACAGGGGCATGTTTATCCTGCTCACAGCTGCCTTTCCTCTGCCCGCTATGGTTTTCATACACCAAAGCTTTAGGAGCACCAATAACAGTCCTCCCATTGACCTCATTAAAAAAGTCTAAAGAGATTAAGAAATGTGGATAATCCCAAGCATGATTTATTTGGTAATTGTGTTTGTGTAGAGAGAGAGGGAGAGAGTGTGTGTGTGAGAGAGAGAGAAAGAAGTTTCCAATCATCTGTCTCTGGTCCACCTGTGAACGTGATGAAAGTAGGAGATAATACCTAGAATAAGCAAGGAATTCTTTGAAATACCTTAAGTCTTGACCATTTAACATTGCAGATTCTTTTACTTAGAAGGACCATACCCATCAAATTTAGGAATTCTACAATATCCCTAAAGGGAAGTCACCCATATTTTCTTGGAACACTCACTAGATCTTGAGGCAATTATTCCATTATTCGATAGTACTTGTTTCTTTTTCTTTTTGGGGGATGAAGGAGGAGATATTTCAAACACTATAGAAAAAGACATACAATAAGGTAGTGACACTCTTATGCCCACTGTCTAAGAATTAACAAATACTCATGTTTTGTCCTTTTTGCCTCAGCTATCCAGTGTTGGGAAGTAATTCTCCATAGGTCTCTCACCTTTTTGTACATCTGCAAGTGAAATACCGACCACCCCTTGTTCTGGGCTGTCTTTTCAAGGATATTTGTATAGTAAACAACTTTGGAAGATAGAGATAGTGTTTCCCTTTGGAGGTGAGGGCAGGTTTGTTTACAACCTTGGAAGATAATAGTGTCTCCCTCTTGAGCAAAGAGCAAGTATACTTAATGCCTATTATGAAACAATTAAATTCCTAAACTCAGGGTTCCTCTCCTATAAGCCGACCTACTGCATGTGCAGGTGCAGACTGACCCTCTTCAAGTTGCCCTGTGGGAGTAGGGGCTTAGGAGATTGGTGCAAAAATGACGATATCTAACTACTGCTATTGCTGTGAGTAATAAACCATCTTTGTCTCTGATTGAGGAGTTTTGTACCAGCAGCCATGAAACTGTAGTAGGCTATTATTTAAACTACCTAAGGCCATAGAAAAAGGTAGAAATAGCTCCCAATTCATTTTACAGAGATAGCATAATATTAATACTAAAACATGATAAAAATAGAAAAAAATGAAAACTAGATAATTTCATTTATAAATATAGAAGCCAAAACTCTAAGTAAAAATTAGTAAGGAAAGTCCAGTAGAAAATTATAAAAAGAATGCATAGATGGGCAGGCATGGTGACTCACGCCTGTAATCCTAGCACTCTGGGAGGCTGAGGCGGGAGGATTGCTTGAGGTCAGGAGTTCGAGACCAGCCTGAGCAAGACTGAGACCCCCATCTCTACTAAAAATAGAAAGAGATTAACTAGACAACTAAAAATATATAGAAAAAATTAGCTGGGCATGGTGGTACATGCCTGTAGTCCCAGCTACCCAGGAGGCTGAGGCAGAAGGATTAATTGAGTCCAGGAGTTTGAGGTTGCTGTGAGCTAGGCTGACGCCACGGCACTCTAGTCTGGGCAACAGAGCGAGACTCTGTCTCAAAAAAACAAACAAGCAAACAAAAACAAACAAAAAAACGATAAAAAAAAGAAAAAAAAAGAATGCACAGAAATTAAGTCAGGGTTATCTTAGGTGTGTAAGGATAGTTTAAAATTGGAATATATATCAACAAAATTGACTATGTTAATAGAGTAAAAGAGAAAAAAACTATATTACTGTAACAGTAGAAGATAAAAGACATTTTATAAAATTTAGTAACAATTACTAACAAAAACTCCATGTAAAATAGAGGTAGAATAAAACTTTTGACATAACAACTATAGCAAATTATGAAATATTGAAGCCATTTTAAAATCAGGAACCAGACAAGACTGCCTGTTATTACTATTATTTAGTATTGTTTTGGAAGTTATAAGTAATGCAATAGTAAGGTGTGTGAAATATTAGAGAAAAACAAAATAAATTATCTCTTTTTTTGCAGAAAATAGAAACATATATTTAGAATTTAATGACTTAAATAACCTGCTAGAATGAAGAGAACTTGATAAGGTGGCTGAATATGAGAAACATAAAAAAGCAACAGCTTTTTTCTAAATGAGCATATCCAGTTAGAAATAAAAATAAATATAAATCCCATTCTGGATAGAAATAAAAACTAAAAAATTCTTATGAATTTGATGAGATGGGTAAAAGACACATGAATTCAAAAAAATTATAAAATTGTGGCAAGGAACATAAGATAAAATTTACTAAATGGAGATATACACTATGATTCTGTGATAAAAATTTAATTTGTAATGCCAATTCTTATTAATAATCCATATTAATATACAAATGTATTCAAATTTAATTGGAATCAAAGTGATTATCGCAAATAGACAAAAAGATGTTAGAGTTGATGTGGAAGAATAGATATCTGAGACGAGTTAAGAGTAGTGACTTGCTTCACCAGGTAGTAAAATTTAAAACAAAGCTGCAGGCCGGGCGTGGTGGCTCATGCCTGTAATCCTAGCACTCTGGGAGGCCTAGGCGGGTGGATCGCTCAACATCAGGAGTCTGAAACCAGCCTGAGCAAGAGCGAGACCCTATCTCTACTAAAAATAGAAAGAAATTAATTGGAAAACTAATATATATAGAAAAAATTAGCTGGGCATAGTGGCTCATGCCTGTAGTCCCAGATGCTCGGGAGGCTGAGGCAGTAGGATCGCTTGAGCCCGGGAATGTGAGGTTGCTATGAGCTAGGCTGATGCCACGACACTCTAGCTCAGGCAACAGAGTGAGACTCTGTCTCAAAAAAAAAAAGATGAAAAAAAAAAAATAAAGCAAAGCTACAGGATTCAGACAGTAGGGAACTGCTGCTGGAATCAATCAGTGGGAAGAAGAAGGAAGGGAGCCTAGGAGCAGAGCAAATGAATATGGAAACATGATGAATGGCAAAAATGACATTTGCAATTCAATGGGAAAAGGATGCTTTAAAAAATACATTTTTTTTATTTCAGCATATTATGGGGTACAAACGTTAAGGTTACACATATTGCCCATTCCCCCTCCTCCCTCAAGTCAGAGCTTCAAGGGTACCATCCCCCAGACGGTGCACATCTCACTCATTATGTTTGTATATACCCATCTCCTCCTGCCCACTCCCACCTGCCTGACACTCGATAGATGTTATTCCTATATGTCCACTTAGGTGTTGATCAGTTAATACCAATTTGCTGGTGAGTACATGTGGTGCTTGTTTTGCCGTCTTGGGATACTAGCATACCTGGATATTCAATAGGACGACACTAAAGCTAGATACTTCATTTATACCTCTTTCAAAAATAAAAATTCCAGGTGGGTTAAAAATAGGAATCTAAAAATAACATATTAGAAAAAATGATAATATTAATAAAAGGAGTTTCTATGTTTCCCCGGATTCCTGCCCCAAGACTATCACATAAGACTATAAGGTCATGAGTGGGCCACCCCACAAGCAGCCAAAGTATTTTTCTTCATGGACTCTTTAGACACCTAAAGCCTTGGGGAAGCCAGTCGTAGAGAGGCGGTGTGATGGCATAGAAACATCAGAGACTTGAGATAGACAGACATGGATCTGAGTCTCAGTTTGGCTCCATCTTAGCTATGGGACTTTGGGCCAGCTATTTGGTTTCTTTAAACTTCAGTTTTCTCTTCTGTGAAATGGATATGATAATAACTTTTGGAGGTCTTGTGAGGATTAAATTCACTCCTGTCTTATAAAGGAGCCTAGCTCACTGCCTGACACATGGTAAGTATTCAATAAATGCTCATTTCCTTCCGTAATTTTCAATTTCTGAGGATTTGAAGAATTAAATTTTGGATGTTTGTGAAAGCCATCATTATTGCAATACCCACTCTTTGTGACTGGAAAGAAAAACCAGTATAGAGATGCCCATTTCCATTCTTTTGGTTCAAGCTTCTTCCAGAAACCTGAGAACTTTCAACACTGGCAAACCAAACTGATTCTGCCTCTCGCAGAAGAAAATCAATAAACATTAGCTCCTCCGAGGCAGACAAATTACAGGAACCACAAGTTCCACAGTGTTTCATAATCTTATGACAAACACCATCCGAGTTACTTACGGCTCTTGGATGAGGAATCTTTCCTAACAGCAATTCCATCCACCGTGCCCAAAGTTGGCTGTGTCTCTCCTTCCCCCAGTTTTGTGGCTTCACACATATGACTTGTTTGCATTTTGGCCTATTGTGAGCGTGGCTGTCTCCTGGGTTGGTAGGGTTCCCAGACCTCCAGAGCCAGCCGGTCTCCACTGAGGGGCCTGGGAGGCTTCCTGCTGGCCCTCAGCTCCGGTGAGGACATGCCAAGCTGAAGCTTATTTCTTTGGAACTTCTTCTGGGTTTCTGGCTCAACCTCCTCTGCTTGTCCAAGAGAGGTATTTTTGAATATCCTCAGTGACAACTCTCATTATCAATTGTTGGATTCAGAGTTTGCCCTGGCCAGATGGGTACCTGTGCCTCAACCCTATGGCTGTTTCTTCCTTCTCCCTGTAGGTAAGTCTGTACCTGTCAGTAAGACACTGGGTCTTGTTTGCCCAGTGTCTTAATGACAGATTATTTGGGTGTAAGCAACAGATATTCCAGCCCCCACCCCACTCCCAGCTTAAGTGAAGAAGGATTTCTAATACAATATCAAGGGAAAGTCTCTCAGATATCCAATGACAAGACATCAAGTACAGCTAGACTGGAGATGTAACTGGAATGTTGAGAACGGAGATTGCCCGCTCCAGTTCTGAGGCCTAGACGATTCCTCTCTTTTCTCTCTGTCCCCTCTCTCTCTGGTGGCCTCTGGTGCTTGTAATGGACCAATTATGACATGTCCCAATTTGCCATGACTCTACAGAATGCTTCAGTTCAATCACCCACTGTCATCTCATGATTTATTATCTCTGGGCCAGTTTAAATACTGGAAGAGTCTGATTGGTGGCCTGTCATCCAATAGATTGACAGATTTGAGTCAGGTGTCGACCTCAGGTCCAATCAGCTTTGGCCAGAGGGGAGGGTAATGGGCATTGGCTATGGGCCAGAGCAGGCTCTCTGAGAAGGGGGCTGGTTGGATCAGGTAGGATACCCGAGAACCAGCTAGGTTGCATCCCCAGCCCTTCACATTTAGGTAGAGCCTGATAGTTTACAGAGCAGTTTACATATACTATTTTATTTACATGCTGGCTGGATTCATTTGCTCATTCCACATTTTTTGACTATGCTCTTACACCAAATACTGGAACAGGTATCACTGCACTAGGCCCATGTGTAAATACGTGCATGCTGTGGTCAAGGCAATTTCCTTAAGAGTGGGAGTGCAGATATAACAAATGAACAGGGAATGTGATGTAAGTGCAGGGATAGAGGAAGTTGGGCTGCTATGGACAAATAGAGAAGGATATAACTCAGGCTTGGCAGTGAAGGGGACAAGCCAGGAAGCTTATTCTGTGGCTTGATCATCTGTACACATCACAGGAATCAGGAGGTTGGCAAGGCAGGTAAAATTGTCCTTCTGTTTGATAGCTAACAGGTTCAGAGGGGTTAGGCAATTTCCCTGGCGCCACACAGCACTGGAACCAGGACTGGAGTCCAGATCCCCTGACTCCTGGTCCAGTGCTCACTCATTTCATCTGAGATACAATCCTTCTCCACCCTCCACCGTCTGCTCTTGTGCTGTATTGGGCAGGACTCATCACATGAGTGCAGTGCTTGGAGACTTGGCTTGGTCACCACCTTAACACCTTCTATGACCACATTCTGGTGCAGGTCCTGAAGATTTCAATGCTAGGGTATTGGGACAGGATGGGGAAGGGGAGGAGGGAAGGAGAGAAGTTGGGGAATCTGCCACCACTTAGAATTCTAGCTCATGTGACAGGGACATCTGATTCACAGTCCACAGAAGTCAGGGGTGGGTAAAGGGGGGATCAGACAGAGCCTGAGTGTGTCTCTAACAGTCTTTTGAGGTGGGACTGTGGCACTGAAAATCCCTGTCCCCAGGAGGCAGCTATGCAGACCCTACTGGATGGCTGTGTCCTGGTAGGTGACAGGGTTGTGCCTGGGTAGTGACATGAATTTGGCCTAGGGAAGGAGGTAGAGGGGAAGTCAAGACAAGTGGAGGTTTTGCCTCCCCCTCTTTCCCTTCATCCGTCTTCCCTTCTGAGTGGCTTCCCTCTTGAGCCATGTCCCTCTTCTCTGTTGCCAAATACAAGGTGAGGCCACATCATGTGGACACTAGTCACAGAGGATCACATGCAGCTTTTGCAGTGTGCATCCACACCATTGCCTGTCTCTAGGAAAATGTAGTTTCCTTAGACTTCCCACATTTCTTGCTCTTTTCCTTATTTCTCTTGAAGCATGGGACCATCTGGGTTGGCTTCTGTCCTGATGGAAACATGGTGGAAATATAGAAAATACCTCTTTTTTTTTTTTTGAGACAGAGTTTCGCTTGTTGCCCAGGCTATAGTGAGTGCCGTGGCGTCAGCCTAGCTCACAGCAACCTCAAACTCCTGGGCTCAAGTAATCCTTCTGCCTCAGCCTCCCGAGTAGCTGGGACTACAGGCATGCGCCACCATACCCGGCTAATTTATATATATATTAGTTGACCAATTAATTTCTTTCTATTTATAGTAGAGACGGGGTCTTGCTCTTGCTCAGGCTGGTTTCAAACTCCTGACCTCGAGCAATCCCCCCGCCTCGGCCTCCGAGAGTGCTAGGATTACAGGCGTGAGCCACCGTGCCCGGCCAGAAAATACCTCTTTGCTATAAGAAAACCAACACCGTGGACATGATCAGTGGCAGCTGATGCTGAGCCTCCATGCTGGGGAGGCCACAGGACCCGGGGCATCCGGAGAGGACACTGCCCTGGGGAGGGGCCAACCACTTCTTGGCATCCACCTCTGACTGCCCTGGAGGCCTGGAGTCACTAGCTCGTTCTATTGCGAAACAGAAGCTGGAGATCTGAATTGAAAATATTAGCATGAAATTGGCCCCAAATTTCTTTAAAACATAGGATGGAACAACCAAACAGGATTTGGCCTGAAGGCAGGTCAGTTTGTGACATCTGAGCTACCTGTTCTCTAAAAACGTCCTTCCCAGACACTTATTCTCTGGATTTTCTTTCTCAAAACCCAGAACCCTGGTCTGACGGGGGCAGCATCAGGCAGGCAACCCCACACTGAGGGACGGTCTGCAGAGTGTCTGACCAGTCCCCCACACAACTGTGAAGGTCCTGATAAACGAGGAAAGACCGAAACACTGCCACAGGTTAGAGGCGACGAAGAGCCGTGATGACTAAATGCGACGTGGGATGCTGGACGGCAGCCCGGAACACTAGTGGGAAAATTGGCGAAATCTGAGTAGTCTGGGGTTTAGCAGATGGTTCCGCACCCGTGTTCGTTTCCTAGTTTTGACAAATGCAGCATGGCAGTGAACGATGGTAACATTAGTGGAAATCGGGTGAAGGGTGGAGGGGGAACTCTCTGGACTGTAGTATTTGCAACTTTTCTGTAAATTTCAGATTATTCCCAAACAAAAAGTTTCTTAAGAAGAAAATGTCCCTTCCAAGCCTGAGATAACCTTTGGTTGTTATGGTTCTGAAAATGAAGCCAGGTTTCCAGTGTCAAAACAAATGCTGCCTTGGTGGTGTCTTTCTTCCAACCTGGGAAGCATCCAGAGCAGTGTTGAGCTCTCTTGTCATTTTCTTTTGGACCAAATAATGCCAAAGTCTCCTAAGATGGGCCCCTGGGTGAGCCCAGAAGCATGCAGGTGGTCATGCATGTTTAGTATATAAAATGGTGTTTCTCTTTCTGTTAGTGAAGATGGTCGATTTCTGGGCCTCACACACTACTGCCCTCCCACTCTGACCACCCTACAGAGGCTAGAGTGAGTTTGAAATTCACAGGCAGACTTTAGGTGCATTCTGAGGACTGACATTTTGCCCAAGAGTATGGCTGTTTGACCTGCTGGGCTGTGCAGCTGGATCGTTTTCTAAGTGGCCCCAGGCTTTGTGTGGCAGGATCCAAGAAGGTCACCCCCTCCTCCTTTCTGGGAAAACATTCCCAGTGTCAGGAAAATTGGTGAGGCAGGACAGGCTGAAGTGAGCCGTCAGAGGAAAGGAAGGGGCCAGCATGGGAGTGAGAAACCTTTGCATACATTGTCATCTCCCTGGAGGAGTTAAGTTTCTCCACATCTGTGGTCCCTCCAATTCCACAGGAATTATATTCCTCTGCAGGGTTCCCAGGCAATTATTCCTCCTTGCAAAGTGGAGCCTCTCCTGTCAGGACCCAATCAAGCGACCACAAATCAAAGATAGCTTGGACTCGTTCCACTAATAGCATGGAAAGCTATTAGCTGAAGTCGTTAGAAAAGGGAAGTGGCTCAGATCTCCCTGGTCTCACAAGAAAAGCTTCTGTAATGTCAGATTCTGGTTACCAAATGGCTCAGTGGAGTGAGGCATCACATTTCTCATAATGAGAGCTTATTTATTGCACCACTGAACCAACACACTCTCCCTTGCTCACTTGCACAAGATAAGACGGAGAGTCCTTTCAAGTTGAATCAAGTCTAAAAAGAAAAACAACACATGCATTCCCAGCAAATGCTTGGTTTTTCACTCTGGTCGTGTGGGGAAGGACGGTAGCTAGCTCCCTCTGTGGGCGGTGAGAAGGGCTCGGCAAGGCTGTCCTTGCTGCAGTCTCTAATGCTTCAAGTTGGACTCATGGGGGTAGCGTGGGTGGAGGGTGGGGGTGATTCCTTTTGGTTAAGGCACCATTTCCAGGAGAGTCTCTGTCAAAATGTTAAGAACTTGTGCCCCTCTCCATTAGCCCACCAGAAGCCCCTCTGTCTTTGGGGAGCTATTTCTCCCCAGTCCCCTGCCTGGTGGTCCCGAGGGGCTGCTAATCCCAGAACTCTGGCACCCTTGGCTATGGCGTGAGCCTGCGTCCATCCCTCTGGCTACAGTGGTCGGGTCTAGAATGGGCACATGGCGGACACTGGGCCAGTCAGAGGTTTTTCCCAGGACGGTGCTAAGAGGAGCAGGTGGTGAAGGCATCTTGACTCAGGGAGGTGGGAAGGATGGGAATCTGGGGCTGCCAGAGTCTAGAAAACCCCTCTCCATTGGTGAGAATGAGAAAGGGGAGACAGAGAAAGGGGGGTCCTCATGGCATTAGAGCCCAATGCTGGGTACTGAGAGCCCAGATATGTGTGTGGACGCCCCAGCACCCTTCCAGTAAAGCTTCATTGTAACGAAGCTAGCTTGTATTAGGCTTCTACCACTCCCAAGAAATAATTTTCTGACTGTGCACTCTTCAATGTGCCTGTCTTCTACAGCTTTCCATAAACACCAGCCTTAGGTGGGCGCAGAAGCCTGCCGCCTGGCGTTGCTGGGCTTAGGGGCCCTGCTGTGTTCCTGTTTGGGTTCGGAGACGTCACAGGCCTCTGCTTGGCAGGGATGAAAGGGGCTCTGGGAGAAGGTAAAATGAAAACATCTTGGCCGGATAGAAGGGAAACCAGAGACCGGAAGTGTGGCTGGCTCTTCCTGGTTTTTAGAGTTTCGCTAGCTTGGCTTTCCAATAAGGCTCTTTTGAAGAAAGGGCTCTGCAGCTAAAAGAGTGTTATAGTCACCGGCTTGGGAGACCTTTCCTTGCTTCTCTAGGTCTAACGCTCTTTATTTTTCCACTTTCTTGGTCACCCGGCCTTTGCTGTGCTCGTGGGGGAGACTGGCTCAGGCCAAGAATGTGGGGTGGGGGGAGCAGTCATGTGGGT